TAAAAGAATGTACTTTTATGAGAGGAAAATAGTCTGTTCCAAGGGAAAGCTATGCATGTGTTTCTGCACACAAGGATCTTTGATGTGGATGTCTGTGGGAGTGCATTTGGACCACGAGTGCATCATGGTCTGGAGGAACGCCTCGTGTGTGTGTGTGTGTGTGTGTGTGTGTATGTGCTCGTGTACAGAGAATTTGTGAAAATGGAGATGGGAATTCCCTGCTACGCTCTCCTACGCAAGACCACTGTGAGCGCTAAACCCCTTTTAAGGCCAAAATAAAAGGACTGTGTGCACAAACGAGTTTGACTTGTGACATCAATCCCATCATTCTTAGCAAACATCAAATTATAAGCAGAAAACTTGCTTTCAGTGTTCTCTGGATTCAATTTTCAGTCAAATCATAAGAAGCATTCAATTGCATGTGTCCTCGGGGATGTGACTCAGTGTCGTGTTGAGGTGGGAGGGAGAAAGACACAGAATAAAAGAAGAAATAAGGGATGGGAAGAAAAGGGCAGAGATGGATGCAGGGGGATCATTTTCGAAAGCTGAGTGTATTTCTATATTATCAGGTGACCTGTTGAATTTTCTTTCTGAGAAAGTTGCTATGCAAGGCATCGACCCACGCCCAGGAAACTTTTCACGAAGAATGTTAGGTGAGCAGCCTTTGCTCAAAAACAGGAAACTGTTCATATTTCCTTTATAAAAAAGGCCTTACTTTGACAGCTCCTCACTGCTTGGGAGTTACCAATGCCACATGCCCTTCAAAATGAGAGCACCGTGCTATTACTGAATGTAGGATTTCACAAACTCGTGCCACAGTCCCAGCATTTCACATTGCGAAGACAGCTGCTCCAGTGATAATTGCTTCCACCCTGTTGGGAAATCCAGCTTAAGCTGGTAGCTGTGGAACAGCTGGTTTCTAAGCTGGTTTACCAGCTACCATGCTCTAAAAACCAGTTTGATCAGCTGGTTCAAGATGGTCTAAGACATTGCACATGCTTAGAAACCAATTACTGCTCCAAAACACCTAAAGTAGGGACACCAGCGCTCCAGAATGCAATGATAGGGACCAGGTGACACCGGATGCAAGTGCGTTTAAGGTTTTGCAGGTAAAATGATAGATTCTACAAGGACTTGAAACCACCATTGTATCAGTTTTCAAAGACAGCTGCTGCTTGCAATAATTGTTTCCAGTGCCACCGTGACAAACTGACCACTGACTCACCACTTCGTTTATGAAGCCAAACTTTCTGTTGAGTTATAATGCAAAACTATTACTTTTTTCCCCATAAACTGTAATGTTCTCTGAACATGTTTCTTAATATGTATTATAACAATATCTAACATTTAATAATTATAATAATAATACAAACAGTTATTAATAAATTACATATTGTAATACAACATAATATATTAATATTATAAAATATAATACATACTAAAACAATTACGAATAAAAAGTTGCGTGCACTTGCTTCATATTACATTATAGCCTACTATTCATGCACTTATATATAAATAAATCCATTTTAAAGTATCTTATTATAATTAAAGTGACTTGCCAAGAAAGAAAAAGTTGCATAAAGCAGAAAAAGTTCGTTGAATGACTTACCTTGACCACATCGTCATTTAAATGCTTTGGGTCCCGGTTGACCAGGTCAATCTCCTTGGTGTGGACATCCTGAAGGGTCTTTTCATTGATGCTGTCCTTATCCATTTCTTTATTATTTGGTTTATAAATGTTCCCCTGTTTCCTGATGAACGGTGAGTGCGCGTAGTCCTGCGGTTCCAAAGAAAACAGAAAATGAAGTTCATGAGCGTGGAGGGGAGACTGGGGCGCAACTCAGCACTGCCCTGACATGGGATGGTTTTAAGCGGATAGAAATGAAGCACCACACCCCTTTGGAAAACAGCTGAGCGACCCGCCGCACGGGGGCGCTATTTCCCACTGTGCTCTGTTCTTAATCCGCAGCAGAAATATATATATATATATGAAATACGCTCACAATTTAAAATATTTACCTGTTAGGACGTGTTTAAAATATATTAGTTATATTTTATATGAACTAAAAAAAAAGTTCTTAAGAAGTAATTGCATTGCCTTTCGACAACATGCGCTACGAACCAGTTCATATTTTAGCTAATATTATTATTGTTTAAAGTTGAGTTTGCGAAAGTGTGCATAAAGTGAAAAATGAAGGGAGCAGTAAGGCTTGCTGTAGCCTACAACTACTTGCCAGAAAAAGATAAGACCAATGAGCAAACATGCGCGAAAAAAAGACAGTAGTAGAGCAAGTGCCAACACACCGCCTTCATGTGTTGATAAACCCCTAAAAGTGTTTGAGTAATAAGTAGCCAATTTAGCTAAAGGTTTGTTGCATAAGTTCCTCAAGAAATCCTGAATTGACATTTCTGAGGTAAAATAGGTGTCATTCTTACCTCTTCAGGTGCCTCGTCCTTGTATCCGCTAGTCATGCTGTCCCGTGCCTGAAGTGCGCTCAGATGAGTGCGTGGAAACAAGACAATCAGTCGAGAGGAAGCAGTGTGGGAGGCGTGGGGATATTGCTTACAGTTGGGAGTCCTTTCCCTTAAAACAGCCCTCTTTTCTGCATACGAACGTCCAATAAAGCTGTTATCTACAGAGTCGTGTTTTATCTCTCCTGGAGTCTCTCGTGGCATTAAGTGGGAGTTCCTCTCAGTCACTGAGGACAAGCTGTGTGTGTTCAATGAATGAGACTGAAACCCTCCATTAGCCTGCCATGCACTCATAGAGCTACGCAGTATTAGTGGTTGGATATTTTGACGTGATTTTTCCTAAATGGGAGGCATATATTTGGGCACTGTACCAACTTCTCCTGAACGAATCCCATGTACACTACCAGAACGTTTTTATTAGCACTATTTTCCACGTTGCTGTAATGGTAAAGTCATCACAATTATAAAGCATCAAAATGGAGGATTGTGTAGTGACCCAAATTAAATGTTAAACAAATCAAAGTTACTCAACAAGCTACCCTTTCTTACAGCTCTATGAGGTGCATCTTGAGAAGGTTTTCAAATAGTATTGAGTACCCTGAACACTTATTGGCTGCTTTTCCAGGCCAACATTTAAATTCAAAAGATATAGTTCTGTAAGGAAATTCATACATGACTTGAGGTGTATAAACCTGAAATGTGACTAAGGTCAGTTTGCATACCGCAGTGTACCTCAAGGCAAGACTGACTTGCACTTAGTTGGGAATGTTTTCACCAACAATAACGCTGCGGTTTAATGTTCTTGTTTTTCTCATATTTGTCCAACTTTACTATCATTTACTTTACTTATTTATATCTTTGAGTGTGCATTTACTGTGCCTAACAAATATTTGTGTATCTAGGTCAGGTTCTGGCAAAGTGAGGGATGTGACAGGCAATACAAAATATGCAAAAAAACAACAACAACGACAGTGGTAGTGGCCAAAAGTCACTTTATAGCTCACGTAAAAAAGCACTTTTGTAGTTATTTTTAAACATTTTTAAATAAATCTATAATACAAATATTTGTATTATTTTATATGATAATTTTCATCATTGTTGTGCTATATAAAATAATAAATATACAATATAAAATATATTTATGTATAATACATATTAATTTAAAGCAGACAAATTTTAAATACATTTAAATACAAAGTCAAAATGCGTAATGAAACGTTTAATAAAATCTAGCTGTTAAGAACTCAATAGAACACTTCGATCCTTCTACAAAAACATACACTTTTTTTGTGGGTACACCGTTATCCTTAGACATACCTGCATTCCGCATTGAACATGTCACCCGGAGGATTTTTTTCTCATTGCACAATACGTTAAATCTTGTCAGGTTAACATTCAATGTGCCACATATTGATCTCCATGGTATAGCCTCTCAGCAAAGAAAAAAATCCATCCTTTAATTTCCAAAAATAATTTTATTTGCTTTCATAAGCTGAGCTGTGTTCAGCATTTTTGCTACATGGCATCATTCAACAGGGGTGAGGAAACGGCACCTGAGCCTCTAATGTTCCATTGCACAGTCAAATATTCCATTTACTCCGCGGAGCCGCTAACAAAGCACAATCAATGGCAAACAGCATGTCAAATGTGGCTTTGCATGTCAAACTAATCGCCAATTCAATATCATTATGAAAAGAAGTCATTAATACAGAAGTAGAGTGTTATATTTGTGAAATGTTCTTTATAACAGGAATGTACCTAAAAACATAAATAGTTTGTACACTAAAATGCCATCAAATCATTTAATTTACTCTGATAAATCATTTCCAAACAATATAAATATTAACTCAGAAATCGCACAACACTACAGCCCTATTGGAAGTAGCTGCATAATTTTTTTCCTTACAAGCACATTGTGAACTTATTGCAATATTATATAGGCTATCATGTAGTAGCACAATGTCTCATCCTTAAATTAACATTTGCTGACAATTTACTCACTCTCAGGCAATCGAAGATGTAGATGAGTTTCTTCTTACAAACACATTTTGAGGAATTTAGCATTACTAAATTGTTCACCAATGGATCTTCTGCAGTGAATGGGTGCCATCAGAATGAGAATCCAAACAGCTGATAAAAACATCATAATAAAGTAATCCACAAAACTTCAGTCCTTCAATTAACATCTTGTAAAGCAAAAAGATGTTTGTTTGTAATAAACAAGTCCATTATTTTTTTTTTCACTGAAGAAGCAGTATTATGAATTATGGATTCATACTTTAAGCAACGGTTTGGAGGTAAAAACGTCTTGATGAATTTGTTTAATACAAACACACAGCTTTTCGCTTAACAAGATGTTAATTAAAGGACTGGAGTAATGTGGTTTACTTGTGAATTATTGTGATGTTTTTAATCAGCTGTTTGGACTCTGATCTGATGGCACCCATTCACTGCAGAGGATCCATGGGTGAGCAAGTGATGTAATGCTAAATTTCTCCAAATTTGTTCCGATGAAGAAACACTCATCTACATCTTGATCTTGATCTTGATTTTCAGCAAATATTCATTTTTGGGTGAACTATTCTTTTAAGGCTACATCTTAATCATTACATTATAATCTTTGAAAAGTCTTGCATTATATATAATATAAAAGGTTAATTAGACTTACATAACAGTACTGAAAAAGCATGTCAGCACTGACGACGCCCAATACAAGGCTGACAAGTCAGTGGTGAAACAACGGAATTAATATTGCAATTGTGCACTGAAATGAAAGAAAAGCTCTTTCTCTTCTCTGTACTTCAGAAGTCAAGGATAAATGATCCTTCAGCTAATAATCCTCCAAAAGGCCAAAGGCCAAAAAAAAAACGTGTCAAAGAGATTCTGCAACACTTCTATGCTGAGTTAGATTTGGTCAGTTTTGCACAGTCTTGACACTGATGGACGACAAGCACCGTCCGATGCTGAAGAAGAACGGCCCTATAAACATATCCATCAGGCTGGTCCAGATCACGTGGATGGAGGGTAGTGTCATCATGCAGCCCTGGATCACTGGCATCACCACCCTGTGGAGGGACAACAGCTCATCATCATGTGTGCTGATATATAAGAATTACATAACAATCATATCAAGGTGAATTTGTTCCTCTCTCTTTGTTATGCGGTTAAAATATAGCCTGGAATGCGTGTGAAGCATTAACTTTCATGGTTCCAAAAATCATCACCTTTGATATTCTTAACATTCAGCACATATGCAAATCCATCAGTCAGCATGACTGTCCCATAACGAATGAATAAGTTTTGAGATGATACATAAAGTGTTTCTAGTATCTACAGCACAGGTCTAACAGTTTATTTTCAATAAACTTATTATTTATATAGCCTGGAATGCGTGTGAAGCATTAACTTTCATGGTTCCAAAAATCATCACCTTTGATATTCTTAACATTCAGCACATATGCAAATCCATCAGTCAGCATGACTGTCCCATAACGAATGAATAAGTTTTGAGATAATACATAAAGTGTTTCTAGTATCTACAGCACAGGTCTAACAGTTTATTTTCAATAAACTTATTATTTATAAATTAAATTTGTAGGAAAATTCTCTGTTTATAATATTAAAGCTGCAGTCCGTAAGTTTTGCCTCTTTGTCGCCATCTCTGTTTGAAAACCTGCAATTGCAGCTGTGTGCGGATTTATCTTCCTTGCGTGGGTTGTGAGTCGGCACGGCTCCAGCGCGGATGAATCTAATGTTCTGAAGAGTATGTGTGGCTGTCAGTCACCACACTGGTGTGGATATTTATTGTACTTCGCAATCACAGATTCTCGCCTACGTCTTGGAATATATGACTCAAATAAGCATTTTCACCGGATATTGTCATCTGAACAGTAAGTAACAAGTCTGCCACGTTTGTTCTGACCAACTGAGGAAAAAAGCATTACAATAAATCGCGCTACCAATGGTGATTTAATCTAAATGAGCTCATATCACATCAAACCATGCAAATTATTATTATTGTTATACTTTATTTTTTTAAATTGTTAGTTAACAACATCAGCATTGCGTGACTATGAGTATAGTGTGTATAAGCGAGTAGATTTAAATTTCTGTACAGTCTAATCTCTAATTGTCATACCACTCGAATTTCATATTAAGAAATTCTTTTAACCCAAAAAGCAAATTATGCTCCCTTCGAACTGGTTGTCTTTAAAATACAAATCTTGTGTAATCCCAGGCTATCTGTAATCAGAAGCACATTTAAAACTGGAATATAATTTAATTTCATTCACATGTGTTTCATAAACACATAATCCTTTCTGGATTACAATCCGCCATCAAAATGATACATTTAATTATTCCAGCTGCTGTGAGAAAAGGCTATAAATGATCGGCCACCTGCAGGATCCTCACATGCGATAGCCTAGTAGCCGGGACAACTTCTTTATGTTTACAGATGTGACGTAATGACGCAGTGGCATGCTCAAATTTCCCACGGGTGTACCACTCAAATTAGAAAACATTATTATAAGATGACAGCTATGAATTGGGCTAAAGTAAGGCGATAGTTTCGAACACTGGCTGGTTATGTACTTGCTCAAATATTGATTTCAGATCATTTTTAACCAAAAAAAGTTACGGACTGCAGCTTTAACCTAATTTATAACTAAACAGAATTTGTCATTTTTCTATAGGAACTGTGATTGGATTGCAAAACTCAATGTTATGGGTGGTTGCTAGGTCGTTGCTAAGGTTATGAGTGTTTTTTAGCACTTTTCTTTGGTGATCTAGAAGGTTTCTAATAAAGTTCTGTGTTGTTTTTAGCACTATGATTGGGTGGTTGCTAGGGCATTGCGATGCAGTTGCTACATTTCTGTATGGTTTTTAGCACTATGTTTGAAATTCTAGGGTGGTTGCTGGGGTGTTGCTATGCAGTTGCTACAATTCTGTGTTATTTTAACACTATGCTTGGTGTTGTTGGTGATTGCTAAAGTTCTGTGTGGATTTTAGCACTTTGCTGGTGTTCTAGAAAGTTGCTAGGGCGTTGCTATGCCGTTGCTAAGGTTCTGTGTGGTTTTAAGCTCTATGCTTAGCAATCTAGGTAGTTGTTAGGGTGTTGCTATGCAGTTGCTAAGGTTCAATGTGGTTTAGCACTATTCTCTGTGTTTCTAGGGCATTGTAATAGAATTGCTAAGGTTCTGTGTGATTTTTATCACTGTGCTTGCCGATCTGGGGTGCATTTCCCAAAAGCAACTATGGTCGCAAGTTCCATCGTTACCAATAGAGTTAAATGGAACTAACAACCATAGTTAGCTAACGATGCTTTAGGGAAATGCACCCCTGGATGGTTGTTAGGATGCTGTTATGCAGTTGCTAAGGTTCTGTGCGAATAGCACCATGCTTGATGTTTTAGGTGGTTGCTAGGGTGTTGATAGATGTTTGAGTTTGGAAAAGTAAACACTCCTCAACAAGCGTCATTCATGTCTGTAACACATTACATTTGCAAAATCATTTTAGCACATTGCTACGGAATTCTGTCTAGATGCAGAAGTAAAAACAGCCCATTTCCAAGTCTTTATGATAATTACTTGCTTTTTTCACTTGTTTTAACATCTACCAGGCTAAAATTCTAAGTACAGACATTAAGTGAAGTATAGAAGACACATGTCTTCAACAAACCACAGAATTTGTCACCCAATATAGCAATATTCTTAATCAATATTATTAAACTTGCAATATTCACCAAGTAGACTTCTCTTCTCCTTTTGAGCTACACTGACTTCTTGACATTAGATCTTATCTAATTTGTCAGGACTACTCATTCCTAAGCTAACTCTGCTACTGCTGGGGTGCTAAGTTTACAAACATCCACATGTGCTAATGTCACCTCAGGAACACTGACCCTGAAAACGGTCCTGACCTAAAGGGTCAAGTGCCAAGTTGTGCCAAGTTTTCTGCTTGCATGTGTCAAACCGCTAAGAGGCTGGAAAAAAACACTTGACTAGAATGCTAACAATCCAGTGTGAGTTATGTGCGGATTTTTCCACGGTGGAAATGCAGGCCCACCTGTGCTGTACAAAACCAGTATGCAAGACTTTCTCTGTGGTATTTTTTTTAATGCTAGTCTTTATCTAAGTGGGTAGTGGCCAAGGCAAATATTCTGCAATTGGGCTGTGGAAAATACAACAGAGCGCCAACAGCCTTCCCCAACAAGAAGACTTTTCATACCAAATATGTATACAGCTGAGGATCCCGAAAACAATCCCTGCAATGAATGCCATGGGAATGGCCAGAAACGTGGTGAGGATCCGGTAGAAGACGTATTTCACCAGCTCGAACACAGCATGACTGCCGATCCAAACTCTGTCAAAGCTGTGCGTGGAGATGGGCTCGGCAATGATGTCTTCAAAACCAACCTGTGGAATCAAACATGAAATTAAAAAAATCAATAGTGAACAAACTCTTTAGACTATCAAAGTAGCCAACATGTATAAAAAGAAAGTAACTACCAAATTTATATTTAAACACCCTCAAAGACCAAATAAATTCTGTTTAATTTATTTATAGGTTCTTTTGAACAAGAAACACAATTTTATCTAAAACGTAAGTTATTAATATTAACATACTTGCAACTAAATCACACATGTGCTGATATTCAATACAACCGTCTTATGTGTGTGAGTATTTTGCTTATTGTATTTTATTATTATTATTAATATTAAAACTTCTGACACGTTATTTTATATGTATTTTCTTCTGTCAGTGTTTTTTTCCCTTTGTGTGTGTGCATTAATGCAGTATTGTTATATGTTAAGATTATTATCGCGCATGTGCAATTACACTTATTCTAATAATATGCAAGTGAATGGTGAAAAATAACTTCTCATATCGAAAGAAACTAATATGACCACATTATTAGCGCTTGTATCACTCATGTTTCGTCAGTTTTAGACGCAAAATAAGTGATAGTATGTAAGTGATAGAAAAGGGGGTCTCGCGTTGTCACCTACCTTTAGATGAGCGTTAATTTCTTTAGGATCTCTGTCCTGGACCTCTGAATACACGTTCGGTTTTTTTCCAAGTATAGGTTCAATCGATCTATTGAATTCATCCTCATCCATAATGACACTGGCCTCCATTTTTTCTTTTTCAAGCCCCATTTTTTGTGTGTTTGGAGTTGCGCGGCGCACACTGCTGTCTGTTGCGCCTGCTGTACGCGCACTGTGCGCTCAGGGCAGGACGCGTCCACACCCCTCACGGAAGACGCGTTCACGCGCAGACAAAACACACAAACGGCGCTCAATTCACTGCTCCAAACAACTGTGCACCAATGATAAGGAAATATTTTAGGGATAAATCCCTGCCCAGCCATCCTTATCTCGACAAACTGTTTATTGAAACAGAACTCAAGGAATGTTATCAGATTGTTATTATTTCCTCTATAGACTCTGGTGTAAACATAGTTCACAGTTTATGTTTTTTTTCCCTCAGGCGTTTCCTCACATTTTACACATTCATTCATTAAAATAAAGAATACAACATCACGTGTATAATATAATATAAAGTTGTTTGTGTTTGATTTGAAGGGTTCTTTATTCCCGCATCATTTTTGAAAAATCTGGTATTGGCACAAAAATCCTTTCAAAGCCACCTCATTATTGATGTTTTTGGAGTGTCAACACTCTCCCAACAGGTCCTTGATATCCTTTCTAAAATATTAATTTTAGTTTTGAAATTGGAACTGGTTTCCTACCAATCATACTGTCATTTTGTTTCTTTTCTTTTTTTTTTCTTAACAGGACATAAGTATGACCAGCTCTGTTCAGCTGAGGACACTTCTCTCTTCTTCTCCTCCTCTAAGCAAGTAGCCTACTGCATGTGACAGAGGAATTGAATTCATGATCCATATTGTTTGAGTTTTCAATTACTACTTGGGTTTAAACATAAACAGCAAGGGTTTTGTATTTCTTAGAACCATTTATTACTCATACCTGGAGTAAGGCAGCATTTTTCAGCTTTTAGACACAGTCTATGACTGTTAGTAGATAATTTGCCTGTCTTAAGGTTGGACTCTCTGATACAGTGTTGTCTTTACCTTCCTATTTGACCTTTTAAAGGGACAGTTCACCCAAAAATGAATGTAAAATTCAAGTGATTCTACTGCCCTGATATCATAATAGAAAAGAAGCCTCTTTAAAATAATTACATTCTTGAAAAGAAAACCTTAATCATTGTTTTGCATTATTTTTGTAATATTTGTTCTTCGGTAAAATAATAGTAAACATTTTATATTAAAAATGTTAAAATAATACTTAAATTTTTTTTTTTTTACTTTTTGTCCGCCAAATCAATGAAGTGCAACCAACAAGCAGAAAACATAAATTAACATTTTTAAAAAATGTATATATACTGTATATATATATATGTATATACACACATGAGTCAGCTTTCTTTCTGTTGAATGCCAAAGACGATGTTTAGCAAAGTGTCCAAGCTGTTCCTTTCCACAATGAAAGTTGATGGTTATTTTCGTCATTTTGCTAAACACCTTCTTTTGAATAGCACTTTGTAGATTTTATAATTCTTTGCAAATGTCTGAATATAATGTTTTCTATAACCAGAGGGAATGAAGGGAGTTCCACTGGAGCTGATACACACATAAACAACAAACTCATTGTGTTGTAACAGTCGGAAGGAAAAATGGGAGAGGACGTGGCGGCCCATGACAGCAGAGCAAAAGCACAACAGTGGGAGTGAAAAGCACATTCTACCCATGAGAACATGCACAATACAGGCCATAATCCCTATGGATAAACACACAGCTGATTTCCAACAGCAAAGGTGCCAAGACCTTTCCTCTGCGTGTGTTTGAAGTGGAGATCAAACGTTGTCAGCATCATGAACGGCCAATATGATCTCTAGTTTGATGTGGGTGCACTGTATATTTTTTTCTCTGAATCAAATTGTGAAACAGAGTAATCAGACTTCACTGCTAAACTCTTCATTGAAGGTATCAAGTACCATTATCTATGAGGAAGGGTTTAGCAGGAAAGTCTGATTGATCTCTTCTTGTGCAATCTTTTACTGTCATAATAACTTAAGTTCACAAATTCAACAGTCTTTCCCTCGAGGATATGGGACCGGCCCATCCAGCTTCTGGAAGCAAAGTAATACAATCAATATATGTTATTTTCATGACAACTTGGCAGGCGAATGACAGCTGCCTTTGTAAGATTGCACTTGGTTAAGCAATACAGTATCTCACAAAACTGAAATTTATTAGCTCTGGTAATTAGCTATTGCCAGCAAACTAAATAAAGCTATTAAAACTCAAGCACTTCCCACGAGGCCTTGGTATGCTGCTTATCACTGTTATTAGGCAGTGGGTCAATGGCATTAAATGTTTGTGCATATATATATATATATATATATATATATACACACACACACACACACACACACACACACAAACACACACACAGTGGTGCTTGAAAGTCTGTGAACCCTTTAGAATTAGGGGCCAATCACCGACGGTGCGATGGCACCTATTGTATCCTTTGGCGTTCTTCTTCTTCTTCCTCCTCTCTGGAAGTCTATGGCAGCCCAGATTTTGTCATTTTCTGGCAATAAAAAATAAATATATATTTAAATTATATGGACACTAGTAAAACAAATAAAACATTTTTTTTTTAAATGGCAGAATGAGTAACGGTTGCCAATTTAGCCGATTAAGATGTCACTCATAAGGGACTAGCTAATTTTGGGAGAAAATGCTGGTTTATAGTTATTAATAAACTTAGATTTCCCAATAAAATAAAGAAAATGGTTGAGCAGTATTGCGGTCAACACTGCAATATTAGTATAAAAATAAAATGTCTTCCCACCATGATGTAGAAAGGATCCAAATTATGTCACTTCTTGAGTTCCACAATTTTAAATGTTAGACTTTTTTTGTAAGGTATGAAATCATGAGGTAACAGTTGTATAGAAAATGTGGGCCACAACTAAATATTACTGAACATTTTTGGTACCTAAAATGAACTAATATTTAATTTGTATTTAATTATTTATTTGTATTTATTTATTTTTAACTATAGTGCACTGAATATCAGTGTTGTTATTGTTAACTAAAACTAAATTGGTAGTTTTAGTTTTTCAGTAATTGAAATAAAGCTGGAATAAAATGTTATTATCAAATAAAAAAACTTACAATTTTAATGAAAGTTTTATATGTTGCCTTGGCAACTAACTGAAATAAATACATTTAAGTTGAAGTAAAATTGCTACAATTAAAACTGAACCAAAAATACATTTATATATATACGTATATATATTTAATATTTTAAACTAATAAACATGACAAAATCACATAACAAAATTAATAAACTGAATTACCAATAACTGAAAATATAAAAATAAAAGCTAAATAAAAATAATAATAAATACACGGTACATACACGGTATAAATAATTTTTCAAAGCTGTAAAGAAACCAAAGATTATTGGAATATGTTATTTCAGTGTTTCCATTTCAAAATTTCAAATTCAGTGTGCTACTTGCCTTTATTATTAGGGGCCAAGCACTGAAGGTGTGACGGCACTTATTGTATCTGTTGGAGCTCATATATTTATTATTACTCTTTCATTTCTTCTCCGCTCTGGAAGTCTATGGCAGCCCATAGAACCGCTTGCGGGAAAGTTTTGAAATTTGGCACACTGATAGAGCACAGTCTCAACGTTAACCATAGGAAATTTGGAGTCTCTAACTCAAACTCTCTAGCGCCACCACTAGTCCAAAATTTCACTAATTTTCATGCTAATAACTTTTGAACCATAAGGCAGAAGGAAAATTGCTTTTTCCTCTGATTCCTTGGCTCATGCCGAATCAAATGGACACCAGAATTAAAAAATCGTAAGGTTTAGTTTTTTCGCTATTTTTAATTGTTTGTGATATATATATATATATATATATACATACATATAAAATTTCATACTAAGTATAGTTCATCTGTTAACATATTTATTGACATAAAAAATTCATACAAATTTTTTTTAATTAAACTTTTATTTGGAGTACTACTTGTGCACAATGTACATTTCACAATATTAAGCCTGAAATGTGCTTTAATGTCACTATTGATGAGGACTGTATGATCTTTGAATAATATTGGTCTTTAAATGCAAGATATTTAAAGTGTACCTAAAGTATACTTGCAATAGTTCCACTTTAGCGCAATCAAATATACTTCATTATATCTTTAGTCGGACTTCAGCACTACTTCCGCACAATTAAAAGGACATTAAGTACAAAATTAGTTGTTCCAATTTATCAGAGTTTAAGTATACCAGTTTAGTATACTAAAAGTACAATTGCAGGGCATTTTTTAAGTACATAAATATGTAAATGTATTTGTAGTATACGAAAATAACATATATTGATTGTATTACTTTGCTTCCAGTAGCTGGATGGGCCGGTCCCATATCCTCGAGGGAAAGATTGTTGAATTTATGAATGTATTTCAAATACATTTATGTATATTTATTTTTCACAAGGGTATTCAAAAACACATTAAAATTGAAAATACTTGAATATACTTTATTTTTTTAATTTCTGAAATAATTTTTATTTTTATTTTTAAGGGGAGCACAAAGTCAAAAATGTCAAGGTAATACAATTGTCCTGATATCATAATGAAAAAAGCCTAATTTAAATAAATTAATTATTAAAAAGGAAAATTAATTAAACCATCTTTTACTTTTTAGGTAAAATGTATATTAAATATTATTATATATTAACTAAAACATTGAAATAATATTCTATTATTCATTAAAATAAAATAATATTCTATGTAATTACTTTGTTCAGGCAAATCTAAGTCATGTGGTGCACCCAACATGTAGGGGAAAATAAATGAATAAATAAATAACTATAAAACAGGAAATATCATAGCAAGACCCCTGTAGATCCTCATGACTGTGTTTCAAAGTCAATAAGTCTTTTAAGATATCATATAATTTCACATTTTAATAACAAGGCAAGGTTAGTTCAGACAGTAAAATGTCATGTTGTGCAAATCTCCAAAAACTGTTATGATATTCATGAATTAATAAATATATAAAATAATGCTTAAGATGTGTACAGTACACTCAAATATATACTCAGGGTGTAAGGAAAACTAATTACCCTACGGCACAAACAGTGCTGGTGATTCTTGATGAATTAGCCAAAGGTCACATTCCGTGGTCCTGTGGTCTAATTCTACTTGCAGAAAAACAATGATATGAGCAC